TGTCTCGAGAGCCTCGTTCTGGCAAGAAAACGATCAAGGTGCACTTGGTAGAGGTAAAGGCATCGGTGGCCTTCGGAGCCTTTGGATGTGATAAGTCAGTATAATTCACGCCCCTTCTTTTAACACATAACTTAATAACCTTGAAAAGCCGAGATATTTTATCCATACTCGCTACTAATTTGATAAATGGAAGATACCGTACCTGATCATCTCCGTTATCCAGGATAATACGCCTCCGTGACTCCAAATCCTCAGACTGAAAAGATATTAGTTGCGGTTATTACGCATGTTGTAAGACAATCCGTCTGTGTTTATAAGAGAAAGGAATTATTTTGTAACAAAATTATGCTGTACATCAAAAATTGAGAATATTTTTTCGAAAAATTGTTAAAGGCATAAGACGCGATAATTTGGTCTAAATGGTAGCAAGGATGCTATAGTGGGGAAAATGGCAAATAAGCGACGCAAAACGGTCGAAAACCTGCAAAAAAACCTTGTTCATGTCTTAGGAAGGATTTTGGACGAGTTTCCCGTTGGCATCGTGCCAAGTAACTCTTACGGTAGATACGACTACAGGTATGTACTCATATATCCATGCAGCACCGCAGCCGCTTCATATCAGTCCCTTCATTCATATTTTACTTCGCAAATGAAGCAATACGAGCATCAGGTACGGTCGTCCATTTGTGGGCGGGCGGACGCAGTGGGCGTCCGGGTCTGTATGTTGCAGTTTAAAAGGACGCTGTAAGGGAACCTTCCCTGGAAATTTGATAGAAACAATCTGAGCGCTTTTTATAAATACGATACTCTTTACCTGTACCCGCATGTGCAGGCCCTAGACCTTTCAGAAATCCAAAAATTTGAAAGGACTGTATGGGGAATGTTCCCAACGTTGCCAGGTATTTGGTTTTCACAACATATCTGACCAGGCCGTGGCACGGTGAAAACCTTGCGGGTAATTAATCACTGATTCCATATGAACGAGCGAGAATGGAACGTTTTCCACGGAAGTCACGGGTTTCGGTTTTTGTCAGTTTTTGTAACTAATGAAGTCTTCCGGTTTTTCTTTGGTAAATATGGTTCTATTCGTCTCCCAAAACACCTTCCATGAAAACAGTTTTTTTTTCGGAAAATCGGTGCAATAGCAAAAAAACTGAAAAGGGTTAAAAAGAACAGACTGATGATTGATGAGAATTCCTCCTCTGCTGCAAAGTTAATCCTTCACTTCTAACCACAAGCTTTTTCACCTTTTTTTGAAGTATAGTCTGAATGAACTCCATCCTGTACAAATGGTATGAGCGGTTTCACGACGGCGATCTGTTCGTTTGCCTACACGCAGTATGTCTCTGCTTTCCATATTCCGTTTTCAAAAGGATCATTTCTGTCTAATGACTAATTCTTCAGAAAATGTTCGAAAAGCGGGAGCGCCGATCCCCCTGTCAAAGTGGTCCAAGGAGCAAGTCAAAATAACTGAATAGTAATCATTTGAGCGGAACTTAAACTGTGCACTCGTCTCCGTGTATTCCGATGCTTGCCATGTGTGAGGTACGTGGGTTCGCAGCGGCAGTAGTGTGCCACTTTCTCCATTCAAGAATGCACGGCAATTGGTCTGTAATAGTACCCGGATGCTGTCGCCGGACGTCGCCCGCGCTGTACTCAAGTGGCAGCACTTCCGTCAATGCCGAAA